CAGTAAATTCCAAGAAAATTCTCAGTAAATCATAAAGTAAATTACTTAGAAAATTCTCAAAAAATTCCTAGTAAAATTCTCAGTAAATTACTAATTAAATTCCCAAGAAAATCTCTGAAAATTATTCAGTAAATTCTCAATTAATTACACAGTAAATTCCTTGTAAATCCTCAGTAAATTATTTTGAAAATTCGAAGTAAATTTTTCATAATTTCACAGTAAATTACTCAATAAAATCTTAGTAAATTACTCATTGAATTCTCAGTAAATTACTCAGAACATGTAACAACCCTCCCTTCAACTTAGTCATACTTGCATACACTTATGTATGATCTTGTTTTGTTATGTGCATTTGCAAATCCTGTCTTGTTTTGCTTGAGTGTTGCTTGCATGCTGTGTTCTTGCCTGATGTGTTGCCAAGGTCATCTTAAGCCTAGACACCTTGGAACCTTTCCACACTTAGAACTATCTTGGAACCACTTCGGTTGACCTCCACCTTCACCTTGGCATATTGGCCGAGATGTCATCATCTAGGCCGAGGTGTGCGTCACCTAGGCCGAGGTGTGCGTCACCTAGGCCGAGATGCTGTTATCTAAGCGTTCTAGATCCCTGATCCTTGCACTTAGTGATTTTGTTCCTGGAATGGTATGACCTAGATTGAGGTGTGGCACATCTAGGCCAAGGTGTGGCACAACTTAGTCAAGTGTTGTCTTTCCAAGCTGATGTCGTTGTCACCCTACTTGCCGAGGCTTTTCCCTTAGCCGAGATCATCACTCGCCGGAGTGCTCTTGCCGTCTAACTTGTTGAATACACTTTGTCATAGTCTTGTTTTGTCAGCCAGTCACCTTTTTTAGTAGAGCCAATCAGCCGATGCCACGTGTCCCAGCAGAGGGTTAAGTCAGTGACTGTCGAGAGAAACATATCATTTTGTATCAAATCTTGCCTTTTAGAGAGAGAGACTCTATGAAGAAGAAGGTGAAGCCTTTGAGTAAGAGAGTGAACTTCCAAGCTTGATCGTTGGAGTTTGAACCGTTGGATTCGGCTTTTGAGGTTAGAATCTTAATCTACTCTTGTTATTCTCATTGATCATCTAGCTGCATTGCATGATCGAACCTGTTCTGCACGCCTTGCATTGATTTAAAGTCAATTTTTGTAAGAGAAAATAGTGTTCTTGTGTTCTTGAAGAAAAGTCTTGTTTTGATCCAAAAGTTTGCATCTAGAACCATGTTTTTGTGTTTGTTCTCACAAGACCTTTGAATATGGGTGCCCAGGTCCATGTTTTCGAACTCATAGCACGAAATCTCAGACTTTGTAATAACAAGTTATGATCTTAGCATGCAAGTTCTTCATCTTCTCCATCTTCATGTTCTTCATGTTCCTCAAAGGGAAACCTAGATTTTCCCGACTTCGCTTTTGAATGTGGCCGTCGGAACCACACCTCGGCGAGAAGGTGTGGGACCTCGGTCAAGACCTGGTTGATGCCCAGCATAATTCCCCGAGATGAAAAAGCAATGTTTTGTTTTGATTTAACTTAGTTTTGATGAACGCCGAGATCATCCGTTTGCTTGTGAATCTTGTTTGAAAGTACGTTCAATAGACTTTGTCATGTGTTTGTAGGACTTGGACTTTTGCCTTGACCCCGACGTTTGAAGAACTATGTGAGTGGTATTTTTAATAAAGTTATGTTATTAAGTTTTGATAAAGTTTTGCCTTGCTTGTTTTGGAAAAGTATTTGTTAAGCATGAATGATTGTCCCTATTTTGTATATCAAGCACTATCTTGTTTTGATGACATTCTCGGAAAGTCCTTAGTGCCAAGGGACTCACTATAGGAAATTCATTTTTTAGCGGCATTTTGAAAATGCCGCGAAAAGTCTGAAAAACGCCGTAATATCTTATAGTGACGTGTAAAATTTTCGCCGCTGATAGGGCCGCCGCAATAGCTACCCAACGTTTAAAAAACGTTGCTAAAAATATTATACGGCGTTTCTTAAAACGCTGCAAAATCTTTGACGACCGTCTCACCCTCCGTCCCAAATTAACATGTAACGTCACAGTGACGTCCTTTAGTGGCGTTTTTTCAAAAAACGCCACTGTTTTTTTATTTTTTTAATTTTTTAATTTGTGGTGGCAATGACGTCATTTTTTTTAGGGGGGGGGGATTCTAAATTAGTGCAGTTGCAAGTATACCTAGAATGAATATGTTCACATTTTATTTTCTGTCATTTTTTCCAAGTGTGTAGCATTTTAAAACCTGCAAATCAAGTAATGTTCTACATTTTAAAACCAGCAATTCATCAATCTCTTGATCTCTATGGGTTGTTCACCCCTTATTCAACATCAGTGATTATACCCAACAACAAAGTATATCTGGATCTCTGCAATTCAAGTCATGCCCCATAACAACACAGTATCATTGACTCTATTATCCAAAACATGTAGTTCATTTCTAGCTAATTACAAAGTAACTTGAAAAACAAAACAGTTGTGATTTACAAAAAAATGAAAAAAGTATCATCTGTGTTTCCTAAATCGCTCCGGACCTAGGGAGCAAGCAAATCATATCTTTGGTAAGAGCAGCAATTTTCAGATTTTGCGTCTCCCAATTCTGTTGTGCACTGTGCACTATATTCGTCACTTGCTATTAAGCCGAAAGCAACGAGCAGCAAAAACATTTCTGCAAAATCTGATGTTTTGTAGCACAATGCTATTGTTTATCAACCTCTTGTAGTCTGAAAACTCCAAGTTAATTTCATTTCTCACCAATTATATTGAAAATATTAGCGACAAAAGCACTCTCCACAAAGCATCTCTCACCATTCCACCTTCCTAATGCTGAATATTTTAATATGAATTGATGATGATCTAAATCCATATGCAATAGCCAAGTCAATCAAAGACTTAAATTTTCTTAGGTTGTAATTATATAGCTGATATAGAGAACCACATCATATATCTCATTAGAAATGTCTCTAGCTTCTTAACAAAAAAATATAATTTTCTACATCATGTTATTGGAAACCCAGAATGGATCTCAGATTCAATCACTTCAACAACTATTTCTAGATTCACTGAACTTCCATGAATGAAATAATGATAGGATACAAACAACCTTTGAGGCCAGACGGAGCACCAGCACAAAGTTGGTAAAAGATATGGTATGACCTTTCTCCATGAGCGAGCTGAACCACTCTTGACTGCTCAAAGAAAACATCATATACTTTTATCAGGCATGTGTTATTTATATAAACAAAATAACTAAATACATACGAGTTTACAGTGGAATCAACATACCTTTTCAAGCAGAACTATCGATGATTATTGAAGGAGTTGATGTTTTATAGCACATATGCAATCAAAAAATAAATCAAGCTAGTAAACACAATTGAACAGAAGGGAAGCATAAAAAAAATTGCTAAATAAATCAAGGAGCTGATGTTTTACAGCACATATGCAATCATAAAAATTGCTCCTTGGCTTTAGTAAAATTAGAGTTTGTATAATACATATTACCCGAGTTTGGGAGTAGGCGAGATTGGGTGTGAGAGTTTCAGAAGTCCCCATATGTTCCACCCACCTATTGCAGAGTCACCTGTTCCCATTGCTTAGCGACTCCCCTTTCCCCATACCTCCTTAGACTCTGTATTTAGTTTATGAATTTAAGAAAATATGTAGAAAGAGAAATGGAAAAACTGTGTCAAACGTAAGTGAAATGTAGTTATATTTTATTCACATTTCATTTATCTTTTTCCTTTCCCTTTCCAAATATGTGAACTAAATACAGAGTTAGGGGGAGTAAGCTAGATATAAAACTGTATTTCAGTTCTAAAAAACAAAAATATTATTTCATACTTACAAGACCGACCTAATGTATTCTGCAGCCCATTTTACCTTAATGTAAGAGCACCAATCATGTTATTAAGGGCAGCACAAACACCATCATGTGCTTTAGGATAGAATGGTCTCATGCAAAAAAAAGAGAAATAAAACATGTTATGTCTAAATTACCTCCTGAGTCGTTTTACCAGCAATCTGATGCCTCCCCCTTTCGATTACAGGGACCTACTTTAGTCTCAATAAAATGGGGAACAATGTACAAACAACAATTTCCTATTTGAAACCCAAACAAAATTTCATAATTTTAAATGTACCACAAGATTTCTTCTCATGTTGATGCACTGAAGAACTCTTGGCCGCTAGCCTAGGTCACACAGCCAAAGTCGAAGTTACTCTCCGATAAAGCTACAATGGAAAAAAGTAAGTTTCAATGCATAATAATTTCCAGTGTAGATATGTATATTATTATCAATGAGTTTGAATTCTTATACCTTTTAAGAATCCCCAATATGTGTTACTTTTTCACTTCCGAATGGAAAGGTCAACGTGCAGGTAAGCTACACAACCCATGAAAAAGAAGAAAAACACAGATGCCAACATCAATGGCTCGGCGAGCATGAATATTGGGTTGAAGCTGTAGTAAACCTGCAATAGAAGATATCAAGTGAACATAAATGCCATAGCCATTATGAAATATATATAAGTCATAAAAAATAAATAAGAGAGAGAGAGAGAGAGAGAGAGAGAGAGAGAGAGAGAGAAGGAAATACTCCAAGCTGGGTGGAGGAAACACACAAACACACCAAATGGGAACAGTTAATTAGTCTTTGTAGCCAGTGATGTCTATAGAATCAACGGTGATAGCAAATCGGTGACAATTATCCTGTTAAGCATGGCCTAACCTAAGAATTAGACCCATAAAAGGTAAAAGATAAGTAAACTCAACCTATCAAAACCATTCATAATTTTAGCAAAAGGTCAAAGAATGAAAAACCTCAATGGCCATGATCATCACTGCAAATAATTACCAAATTAATATAATCAAGAGATGCCCTGACTTCATTGCAACAAGAAAAATATGCCTAGTATAAAGCTATACTTTGCATCTAGGGTGAATCCGATGGGTCCGAACTGTTTAACGCGCACGGGTACCCCCCGGGCATGTTACAGGTATGTAGTACATTTCTTGCCCTGCAAAAGAGTCCATCGCTAAATCAGAACACAGTAATAGCACACCGACAAACTTCCATTTTCTCAACAAAAGAAAAAAACACACACACAACAACTAATGTGTGGACCATAACTAACATTTCACTGGCAAAGAATTGATACTTTATGACACTGTTGGCATAGCATTTACATTTTTTCTGATGTAAGATTGAGGAAAAGTTTGGGTGCCAATATTATATTCTGGACTAAATATCTATCATTTTCATGTTACTTATAGGGAGAGATTCACAATCGAGCTTGAGAACAAAAGCATGTCCTCATCAGTGCATATGATGCTTTAACATGGTTATGGATGCAAAGGTTTTTGTCAAAAAAAACCCAAGGTAGGCTCAAATTGCAAAGTTTTGATGCAAAACATCATAACTAAATTATAGAACACAATCTACAAACTGCCCTTGAACACTATCTCCTGTTACCGCAAATCTCAAAGACGGCCAACTAGCCATTGTATAAACTTAAATTTGGGTAAACCACTAAAATCCCCCCCCACCCATTTCCTTTACTCAAATATCTATCCAATCAAAACTTGACAGGTGCTTTTACCCAAATTTGCCAAATTCTCCTTTACTCCCAACTCCTAGCATCCGCTCAAAACTTGACTCTTGGCAGTTTTGCTCTATTTTTATTTTTTATTTTTTAGATGGGGAATTTTACTCAAATTTTAGTTTATCCACTGGAGTGCTTCATATCAAATGAAGCTTTTCATTTAAACTTCTACTCTAATTTCTACTCAATTAGAGTACAAGTATAAGCAAGGCTTGGATGATAATCAATTTAAAAAAACTAATCAAGAAATTTAAAAAAATCACAAAATAGAATTAATGAAGCAATAATTGAAAGTGTAATTACTATGGATGATAAGTTCAGCACAAAATAGAATTTTCTTGCTATAAATGTTGGATCAATGAAATATTCTAAACAAAATTTCATATTAAAGCAACAAAAATGTTAATAATCTACCTTGAGAGCACCAGCAGCAGACAAAATCTGCTGTCCATGGCAGATTGATGCTACTGGCTTTCCAACCTCCATGAATTCCTTCACCAATTTAATAACTGACTCATCCAATGCTAGGTATTCTGGAGCTCTGCCTCCCGGGATCACAAGAGCATCATAGCTTGAAGCATTTAAACCTTCAAAACTAGCTGTTAGCGTAAAGTTATGACCTGGTTCAACGATCTGATCTGATCTAATTTGAAAATGAAAAAATTAGAGAGTTAATCAGCAGATTTGACAATGAGAAAGTAGACCAACAGAGATCGATCTGGTTCAAACTCGAACACCGATTAAGAGAATGAAAATTGTACCTGATATAAGAGCAACAGAGATCGATCTGGTTCGAGAATGATATCGATTTTGGATCTGCGATCTGATGAAGAACAGATCGAGTTTGAGTTCAAGTTCGATGAAGAGACTGATCAAAGCTCTCCAGTAACAGATCGATGAAGAGCAACAGAGATCGAGAGTTCGACGAATATACAATGCAAAATCTGCAATCGAGCAAGCGAGCAGAGAGAGAGAGAGAGAGAGAGAGAGAGAGACTGTGTGTGTGTGTCTTTGATCTGGTTCGATGAATATCAGTCGAGGGCTTTGGAAGACGGAGAGAGACCGAGCTACGGAAGAGACACAGAGAAAGTGAGAAACGGAGTATGGATGGTGTCAACATATACACCCAATACGACGCCGTTCAACTGAGCTCTAAGACAACGTTTTGAAAACGTTGTCTTTCATCCATCTATAATGGCGTTTACAAAAACGCCATAAAAGAATCGCTGCAGTAGGCCCTTTTTCCTGTAGTGAGGATAATAAACTCAACGAATCCTAAAATATGAACGGTTCAGATTATCGAAACAGGATCCAAAAACAGGCTCACTGGGGGCCAAACTAGACGGTTTACTCCGATTTGAGACTGAAGACAGGTCCTTTAAAAAATTGAGATCTTCAATAAGATTTTTTTTAAAAAAAATCTTTTAAGAATTTTTTACTGGAACCTTATGCGATAGGCTAAGTAGTCTAGTTTTGAATGTGTAATGCTATAGTGGCCGGGTCACCACCGAATCATATCCTGTGATAGCAGTTGAATCGGTGCACTATATTTATTGATTCAATGATCTTGCACATGTAATATAATTCGGTGGAAAAGACTACGTGATACATAAATTATTTATTATCTCCCTTGCTTTGTCTTGTTTTGCCACTGACGGTTTACCGCGCAGGTTGTTTTTTCGGAATGTTATCATTTGTAATACGTTGATGCTAGTAAGCACCCCTTGAAGCTGTAAAGATTTGCTAGATGGACGAGGTCCATGCCTTGTTATAAAAAGTTTTGATATGTGTCGTTTTGTAAAGACTCCGGCTATTATTCATGCAAACCCTTTATTACTTGTACCATTCACTGAGTATCCAAGCTCACCCTCTCTATATATATGTAGGTGATGAGCAAGAAGGCAGTGACGCGTAGATGTGATTCGCGAGCTTGTTTTGAATTTTTGGTTATGTCGGCTTGACTTGTAATCACGTCAGCAGTCTTGAAAATTATGCTTCTCGACTTGTAATACTTGTAATTTGCACACGTCGGCTTGAGAAGCCTTTTGATCAAGATGTATTAAGTACTTTGCTTCATTTGTACTAAGTTATAACCCATGTGAAGATATTTGCCATTTCATTTGACTTACGCACAGCTCTCATGGACTAATCTGATTTGTATGTATTGCTTCCGTACTTGCGAGCCCCGTATATTTATACTCTATTGTGTGTGGATTTTGAAAATTGGCCTTCGGTAATCTCGGATTACTGGCCATTACGGCACCATCCTACTAGGGGCGGTTTGCGGTCGTAAAAGAACATTACCCAGTAAATTGCTAAGTAAATTACTCAGTAAATTTCGAGTAAATCACTCAGTAAATTCCCAGTAAATTATTCGGTAAATTACCCAATAAATTCTCATTAAATTACTCAGAAAATTCTAAGTAAATTATAAACTAAATTACTTAGAAAATTCTCAATAAATTCCCAGTAAATTCTCATTAAATTACATAGTAAATTCTCTATAAATTACTAACTAAATTCCCAAGAAATTCTCAATAAATTATTCAGTAATTCTCAATTAATTACTCAGTAAATTCCTAATAAATCCTCAGTAAATTATTTAGAAAATTCGAAGTAAATTTTTCATAATTTCACGGTAAATTACTAAATAAAATCTCAGTAAATTACTCATTGAAAATTCTCAGTAAATTACTAAGAACATTACCCAATAAATTGCTAAGTAAATTACTTAGTAAATTCCGAGTAAATCACTCAGTAAATTCCCAGTAAATTACTCGGTAAATTACTCAGTAAATTCTCAGTAAATTACTCCGAAAATTCTCAGTAAATTAAAAAGTAAATTACTTAGCAAATTGTCAACAAATTCCCAGTAAATTCTCAGTAAATTATTAAATAAATTATCAATTAATTACTCAGCAAATTTCTCGTAAATCCTCAGTAAATTATTTAGAAAATTCGAAATAAAATTTTCATAATTTCACGGTAAATTACTCAATAAAATCTCAGTAAATTACTCACTGAATTCTCAGTAAATTACACAGAACATTACCCAGTAAATTCCGAGTAAATCACTCAGTAAATTCCCAATAAATTACTCGGTAAATTACCCAGTAAATTCTCATTAAATTACTCTGTGAATTCCAAGAAAATTCTAAGTAAATCACAAAGTAAATTACTTAGAAAAATCTCAATAAATTCCTAGTAAAATTCTCAGTAAATTACTAATTAAATTCCCAAGAAATTCTCAGAAAATTATTCAGTAAATTCTCAATTAATTACTCAGTAAATTCCTTGTAAATCCTCAGAAAATTCTTTAGAAAATTTGAAGTAAATTTTTTATAATTTCACGGTAAATTACTCAATAAAATCTCAGTAAATTACTCAATAAAATCTCAGCAAATTACTCATTGAATTCTCAGTAAATTACTCAGAACATTACCCAGTAAATTGCTACGTAAATTACTCAGTAAATTCCAAGTAAATCACTCAGTAAATTCTCATTAAATTACTCAGAAAATTCTCAGCAAATTATAAAGTAAATTACTTAGAAAATTCTCAATAAATTCCCAGTAAATTCTCAGTAAATTACTTAGTAAATTCTCAGTAAATTACAAATTAAATTCCCAAGAAATTCTCAATAAATTATTAAATAAATTCTGAATTAATTACACAGCAAATTCTAAGTAAATGCTCAGTAAATTATTTAGAAAATTCAAAGTAAATTTTTCATAATTTCACGGTATATTACTCAATAAAATCTCAGTAAATTACTTATTGAATTCTCTGTAAATTACTCAGAACATTACCCAGTAAATTCTGAGTAAATCACTCAGTAAATTCCCAGTAAATTACTCGATAAATTACTCAGTAAATTCTCATTAAATTACTCAGTAAATTCCAAGAAAATTCTCAGTAAATCATAGTGTAAATTACCTAGAAAATTCTCAATAAATTCCTAGTAAAATTCTTAGTAAATTACTAATTGAATTCCCAATAAATTCTCAGAAAATTATTCAGTAAATTCTAAATTAATTCCTGAGTAAAATCCTTGTAAATCCTCAGCAAATTATTTAGAAAATTCGAAGTAAACTTTGCATAATTTCATGGTAAATTACTCAATAAAATCTCAGTAAATTGCTCATCGAATTCTCAGTAAATTACTTAGAACATTACCTAGTAAATTGCTAAGTAAATTACTCAGTGAATTCCGAGTAAATCACTCAGTAAATTACTCGAAAAATTACTCAGTAAATTCTCATTAAATTACTCAGAAAATTCTAAGTAAATTATAAAGCAAATTACTTAGAAAATTCCCAATAAATTTTCCGTAAATAATCAGTAAATTACTAATTAAATTCCCAAGAAATTCTCCGTAAATTATTATATAAATTCTCATTTAATTACTCAGCAAATTCCTAGTAAATCCTCAGTAAATTATTTAGAAAATTCAAAGTAAATTTTTCATAATTTCACGGTAAATTACTCAATAAAATCTCAGTAAATTACTCAGAACATTACCCAGTAAATTGCTAAGTAAATTATTCAGTAAATTTCGAGTAAGTCACTCAGTAAATTCCCAGTAAATTACTCGGTAAATTACTCAATAAATTCTCATTAAATTACTTAGTAAATTCCCAGAAAATTCTCAGTAAATTACAAAGTAAATTACTTAGAAAATTATCAACAAATTCTGAGTAAATTCTTAGTAAATTACTAATTAAATTCTCAAGAAATTCTTAATAAATTATTCAGTAAATTCCCAATTAATTACTCAATAAACTTCTAATAAATCCTTAGTAAATTATTTTGAAAATTCGAAGTAAATTTTTCATAATTTCATGGTAAATTACTCAATAAAATCTCTGTAAATTACTCATTGAATTCTCAGTAAATTACTCAGAACATTACCCAATAAATTACTAAGTAAATTACTCAGTAAATACCGAGTAAATCACTCAGTAAATTCTCGGTAAATTACTCAGTAAATTCTCATTAAATTACTCAATAAATTCCAAGAAAATTCTCAATAAATTCCTATTAAAATTCTCAGTAAATTACTAATTAAATTTCCAAGAAAATGTCAGAAAATTCTTTAGTAAATTCTCAATTAATTACACAGTAAATTCCTTGTATATCCTCAGTAAATTATTTTGAACATTCGAAGTATATTTTTCATAATTTCACAGTAAATTACTCAATAAAATCTCAGTAAATTACTTATTGAATTCTCTGTAAATTACTCAGAACATTACCCAGAAAATTGCTAAGTAAATTACTCAATAAATTCCGACTAAATCACTTAGTAAATTCCCAGTAAATTACTCGGTAAATTACTCAGTAAATTCTCATTAAATTACTCAGAAAATTCTAAGTAAATTATAATGTAAATTACTTAGAAAATTCTCAATAAATTCCCAGTAAATTCTCAGTAAATTACTTAGTAAATTCTAAGTAAATTACTAACTAAATTCCCAAGAAATTCTCAATAAATTATTAAGTAAATTCTCAATTAATTACTCAATAAATTCCTAATAAATCCTCAGTAAATTATTAAGAAAATTCGAAGTAAATTTTTCATAATTTCACGGTAAATTACTAAATAAAATCTCAGTAAATTACTCATTGGATTCTCAGTAAATTAATCAGAACATTATCCAGCAAATTGCTAAGTAAATTACTTAGTAAATTCCGAATAAATCACTCAGTAAATTCCCAGTAAATTACTCGGTAAATTACTCAGTAAATTCTCAGTAGATTAAAAAGGAAATTACTTAGAAAATTCTCAATAAATTCCCAGTAAATTCTCAGTAAATTATTAAATAAATTCTCAATTAATTACTCAGCAAATTCCTAGTAAATCCTCAGTAAATTAGTTAGAAAATTCGAAGTAAATTTTTCACAATTTCACGGTAAATTACTGAATAAAATCTCAGTAAATTACTCACTGAATTCTCAGTAAATTACACAGAACATTACCCAGTAAATTCTGAGGAAATCACTCAGTAAATTCTCAGTAAATTACTCAGTAAATTCTCATTAAATTACTCCGTAAATTTCAAGAAAA